AAGAGATTTCCACTATAGTTGAAATTATGCAAAAATTCCGGGGTGCCTGTTGGGACAATTTATTTTCTAACGTAAAAAATGAAACTACTCGCCACCGAGGGAGAGGAAGGAGAGAGGGCACCACAACCGGGCAGAGCGAGAGCACGCGTATATTGGAAATTATATTTTACAGCTTAACGTGTCCTCGGTGTTCTGTGATAAAGTAAACGTCATCAAAGTCGGAACGTCTTAGAAAACTCATAAACAGTGACTAAAGTTTTCAATCTCGGTTAGAAATACACGTGGGAAGAGATCTCCCCTGAAAGAGAGGGTGTGAGAGGGTAAGTAGTGTAAAAGATTAAGAAATATTGACCACAGGAGAATAAATAGGAAGGACAACGTCGGCTGAGGTGAGGGGAGGAGACACCGCTACGTTACGTAACACTGGCCGGAGATTGGGAACCTCGGAGACCTTCAGACCGTTTCTCGAACTTCGAGTACGTCTGGGGCAGGGGCGGACGTACGAGACGAGGGGAGAGCACGCGGTAGTAGGGAGCGGCTTTGGGGGGACCGTATAGACGACACAGGTGGTAGGGGTACAGGGAGGCGGGTACAGGTTTGGAGACGAGAGACAGGGGGAAGAGAGTCAAGTCCGATAGGTTACGGAGAGGAAGGTGAGGGTAAGTAAGTAAGCAGGTTAATATAGCCGAGAGGAAGTCATGACGGAGGGAGGGGAGGTTTGAGGAAGACAGGTGGGTGGTACAGGGTCCAGGGCATACAGCCGCGGAGGTACGAGGCGTCGGAAGGGAGAGTCCCGAGGGTCGAGGGTGGGGTCGAGGTACGTCGGGAAGGGGAACCCGAAACTGTTGGTGGGGGCCGAGGCCACCCCTACAAGCCGAGGGTCGGACAGGTCGGCCGGAAGCAAGGGACGTCTGCATGTACGGGGCCGGACCGGTCGAGTATACTGTATAAGGGTTGCGGTCACTACGGACACCACCCCGTAGTGGAGGCAGCGTTTACCACGCTTGGCAGAAGACGTGGCCGTTGTCCCGAGTTAAGTACCACCTCACTCCAAAGTACTGACCTGACCCTTACTGGCCGCCCCGTGGTAAGGATGGACCTAATGGCCCCAAAAAGGTGTGGGGGAAAGGAGAGGGGTGGGGAGGCAATAGTAGTTCGGGAATTCCGGAGCGGCCGGCGTGTCGTCGAGGAGGTACCCGGAGGTCTTGCCCTGCAGGTACGTCGCCCTCGTCGACCCGGAGGTCTCCCCGTCGGTCGACTGTCGAGGTCGCAGGGGTTTCTTCGTACTAGCTAAGCTCCCGGTGCGCGGCGGGGCGTCACCCGGCCGAGACTCCGATTTGGAGGCGTCAGGGCCCTTGTTTCGTGGTCGACGTCGGCCGTTTGGGGAAGAAGGTGTTAGAAGTCTCTGAAAACTCTAACCTCGAAATTCCGCTCTCAACTGCAGGGTTCGACATCTGACTTCAATCTAGACCCTCAACTTTTGCGTACGTCCAGAATTTCAATAGGATCGTAGGTTAGACCGGGTCGTCTACGCGAGTTTCGAGAAGTATCGCTAATTACTCATATTACTAGAAATTACGAAAGAACCTGTGGGGATTAAAAAGTATTAAACGGTATTTTCCAAGGTATTACATTTTGTAGCTTGTTTTCAATAAGTATATAAATTGTCCAAAGAGGTTGTATTCTACAGTCTGCCTGAATGTAATCATTGCGTAGGTGTGTAGTGTGATTCTGTGTCGTTTATTTATGGCATCCCGTTGGATTTGACGTCATCTGAACAGGACATCGCACGCTCACTGCTTGATAGCGCTCGAAGCTACGTTTACGCCGGTTGCTAAGCAACATCGTTATGGGGAAATGCAAGTTTGCGTCCAAATGGTTGGAAGATAAGGAGGAAGGACAATCAATACTGTATATAGTAAATGTGAGGTAAAGTGTGTCGCCAAGGTAACCGGTTAAAACTCAAAGTGGCGATGAGGTCTTAATATGTATGGAGAGGGTCTTAAAAAAGTTCTTAAAAGGAATTTCATTTGACTTCAGGATTCCTGCATTCCTGTACAATTCGTCTTCTCCTTTTGCCCCTAAGACATTTGAATAGCTGAGCACAGTAGTTAAATGTAATATCCCAATTTCTTCCCCTCGTTTTTGTCAGCAATGAGCTTGTGGAAGAAATGGTCTCAGTGACAGATAGACGGCATTAAAGGACTTGTCAGAATTCACAACTCATTACGAATGTACCCTGTCAAATGCGTTCAGCAGCGGCTTGGCTTTTAAGTGCTTTATTTATGCTGAGCTCTCACTTTCTCTTTGGGTTTTTTTGGAGCAATTAATAAATGATGTATTTTTTCCCCTGTCAGCTAATTGACAGCATTTGAGCTGGCAGGGAGGAGAGGCTGTTGGAGGCGGCGCAGATTGACCTCTGTGTGCGGTCCAGACACATTCTCAGTTCGGATGGTGAGACGCCTCAACGCTTGCCTGGCAGCTTGAAGAAGAGGACTAGACATGAGTTTAAACATGCAAAACCACACATGTAGACTTACTTAACCTTCCCAGCCTCACAAAGCCACACAAACACATCGGACTGCATTTAGTTATCACAGAGCGGAAAGGAAAAGTGGAGGAAGTTCTCTTTTTCCAACACACCGGCTCATTTCCGATGGTGTTAGCCTTAACCCTCATGAATGATGCAGCCTCTCCCCTTTCTGCACTCTCTCATTGGCTGCAGGAGGTTTGTGTGTGTCCACATCTTTGAGGGAGGCGGGGGGGCTTTTGGGGGGGGCAGTGCAGGTGATGTGACTGATGAGGAGTGACTTGATTTCATGTAAATGCAAGCGCTCTGAGGGAATTCACTTTGGATTACGCGCCCCACTGTGCACAGCCCATGAAATATTAAGCGCTGTGTCACTTTTTGTCCACAGGTGTCACTAGCGGGCAGAGAGGCCACAGCCTTAGAATTGCAGGAGAGAAGGGGGGGGTGGGGGGAGGAAGGGGAGAAAATTCCTTTTGCATTTTGATGAGGTGTGGATTTGGCGGATTTAGCGGAAGCATATGCTGGGCTGTACTTTCCACCTGCCGCCAGCTAGTCAACGCTTGTCAGTCCTGGCCACGCAGCGCCCTCTTATAACTTCTGACACGGCCGAGCGAGATAAGGAAGGGGGCGGGGGGGGGAGTGCAGAGGTAGAGGCTGTTTCTGGCCTTGTGTTTTTTGGGATGTTGAGAGATGTAAATGCTCCGTTGTTTAGTCCGCTTTCCTTCAAACGCGCACCTTACTCTAGTACTGTGACCTCATCCTTATTGTAGCGGCTGAATACAGTGGGCAGAAAAAAAGATGGCGATCTGTAATCCAGTCTAGGGCTGCACGATATTGGAAAAAACTGACATTGCGATATTTTTTGCCTAATTAATATCGCACGTCCTAAAAAAATGCGGGCGTGTGATGTGAATATCGAGATTATCGATATCGTGCAGCCCTAATCCAGTCCTTCATGAACTCTTTATTTAATTGGTCTATTATTTAATTGGTGGGATGAGAGCCAAACATCACCTTGACCAAAAGAAAAATAAACAAAACAAGTGAAGAAGAAATGGCAGCTTCTCTTTCCTCCATAAGATGGAAACGTTCCCCTTCCTCTCTTTTTCAAACCACCCGATAATGCCTTGAAGCAGACAGCGTCCACCTTTTTAGAGGGTCATAGACGCGGAGCGATGGCGAGACAGATGGTGTTGGGGGAGAAAGAGAAGGAGAAGTGACAGGTACTCATGTCCAAGGACAGGAGGAGATGACAGCGACCGGTTCACTTCACTCCTCTTTTCCTCTCTTCTCTCCTTCCTCACTTCTCGTGTGTGACAGTTAACCTGCAGACATGAATCTGATGATGATATCTTGTGACCACTGCCATGCTTAACTCACTACTTTGATACTTCTTGCCCCGGATGGTATGTCAAGCTTTATGCTGACCAACCTGGAGAGGCCTCTGCTCTGTGCCTTTAAATTGTACAGACAGGGGAGAAGGCAGAATGGATTAGTCGCATAGGACGATTATGGAGGGAAAGTAAAACACCTAAAGGCAAACCTAAACAGTAATGACACAACATTATACCATTATTATTTGTTCTCACTGTCTTGGAACATTTAGATGTTTCTGGGATTTTATTTTGAGTTGCATCCAATGCATGGAAGCTTGATGCAGGATTGACAGTACCAGATACCTTCACATGGCTGTGTAAGGAAAAAGCTGAGGTGGTTTATTTGAACCAGATTGAATCCATTTTCAACAAAAAGCTCCCTCTTTCTCCTCACTGCCATAAATGAGTCGAGACCACAAATGGGTACTTAAAAAATTTTTTTTTTAAATCCCGTACAACCACGGTAGTTTCTCTTTATTTATTTCTAAACCATGGGGACCAGTGGACAATAAAGATATTTATTTAGCCTGGCAAAAAGATATCCTGCCACGTAACTCTGTGAAAACCAGTGGTTCCACTTTTAGTTGATTTTAAAAGAAAGGAAGAATGAGTCTTCAAGGTCTAATAGTGAGTTTGTGTGTTTAATCAGATTAAATAATGTTGATCATTGAACTATAGATAGATTATCTTTATGCTAAGCACATACTACTAGGGCTGCACGATATATCGTGTCGTGACGATGATCGCGATATGCGCATAACCCTATTCACATCGCAGGACTTTCTCTTTTTTATACGCGATATTAAGTAGGCAAATTAACTCAAACCCGTCATGTTACAATTCGTTTGCTGCTTGCTACAAAAGGAAAACTTGCGCGGCTCTCATGTCAGGGGTACTTGAGTGAGTGACATGCAGGCTCTGCATGCACAGCAAACCACCAATCACAATCAAATCTCCAAAGCAAACGGACCCGGTGATTAAAGGTAAAAACACTGAATAAAGTAGTTTCATGTGTTTCTCCAGGGCAGTTCGTCGCTGCTAACCGAGCTAGCGTAGCTTGTTGCTCTGATAACTTAAGATCCAGAAGTCCGTGACTAAAATCCTTCATCCGGTAGAATATAGTTGAAAATAGCATTAAAGTTCAAGAAATTATGTTTTGCGGACAAAAAAAAATGTCATTTCTTCAATTCCTGTATTTTTTTCATATCGCAGGGGGAAAGAAATCGCAATGTCAGTTTTTTCCAATATCGTGCAGCCCTACATACTGTCACTAGCAGTATGTGTGTAAAAAGGGAACAACTTACCATCCCATCTGATTTTCTTTTTCTTCTAGTAGACTGACTTATTACTGCTTATCTAACACGTGCAGGGACTTTACCGTAAGCCTGTCCACCGGGAAGTGAGCGCTGAGCAAACGCAGCCTGTGGATTAAAGGGTTAAAAGCTCTTGTTCACAGACTTGACATAAAAAACACACAAACATGCTTGTTGTACAACAGAAAAGTGCTGATGATCATGAAAGCCGGAAATCGAAAAAGCAGTCGAGAGTACGCATTTATACCTCCAACGCTCCATTCACTTGTTTTCCGTCTGTCTGGCTCACCGTGAAATTGATTATGGATTATTCAGGAGGCAAACAAGAACTCCCTCTCTTCTTTCATAAAAAAGCCTGTATGAAAGCGATTAGGGGGTAAGAATGGACTGGTGGACGGCAGAGAGGATGGATCCTCCATTGAGAAGAAAGAGGAAGGTCGTTGACTTTTTCTTGAAAGCAGGGTAGATGGATAGTGAGAGGGGAGGATGAATGAGTGATATGGACCGAGGGAAAGGCTGCATGGATGGATGGAGTGCTTCAGGTAGCCTTACCTGGGATAATGCAGCCCGGACGCAGGTTTAATGGCATATAAAAGCCTGGGACTCATCTTTTATTCAGCCAAAGAGAGACTTCCAGGTGAACACATGCGTCCCAAGAGGCTGCAGAAACACAGCCGTGTATATATTTGTGTGTGTGTGCGTTTCAGAACCTGAGTGGAGAGTTATACACACAGCATCTTGAGGTGTGTCAACTCCAGGAAGCACTTTAGTGGAATTTGCTGAAGTCCGCATGGGAACAAGGTGTATTGGTACTCAATGCGTTCATGTATAGCATGTATATGCAGCTAAAACTGCATAGCAACAAACACTGAGAATGAACACACACACACTGGGACTCGTATAACCCTTCATTCAGGTCCAAGTCCTTTAGTGGGCACGCTCCCGGACATATGCAAAGTGCTGCAGTGCCTCCTCCACACGTGCACACACTGACACTGGCGGGTGTTTTGAGAGTGCACGTGAGGCTGTTCCATATGCATGGGGCTGTTTGGGCCTCCTTCCCTGGGGCAGGACCTCGGGGCTCTGCTGGAGAGCGGGGCGATGGAGCAAGAGTCCACTTCAGGCCCAGTGCGTGTTTATGTACACATCCTCCAGTTCAAGGTGGAGCGGCAGGCAGCCATTAGCATGATGTCGATGGAGGAAGTGTTTGTGTGTTGGAGCCTGCTGGTTTCACTCAGAGAAAGTGTGTGTGCCAGCTTTTAACTAAAACCCTTTTTTTTCTTTTTAAAAACATCCCCAGGCCCGGAGGTTGTTTTAATTTAAATCACATTTTCCAGATACACAAAGACAAATGTTTGCTCTTCTCAAACTGTTGTTTTTCTGTATTTCTAAGATGCATATAAAAGCCATTAATCTCATACTTGCATTTTAACTATTGATTCAAATGTTCATAATGACATCTGTCACCACAAATACTTATTCAACTTTGATTCTCATGGGCATGATAGATTTCACTTTGGATTCTAGAGGGAAAATCCTGGCATTTTCAGACTCAAAAATAAGTCTTAGTTAGGGGGAAAAGTTTAAATGTAAGTTTTAAATTGATTTAAACTCAAAGGGTATAACACAGACTTCTGCCAGGGCTGTGTCCTTAAGTTAAAACTGATGTGTGAATCCTTCCTGTGATTTGCGTCCACTCAGGGTTATTCCTTGGGTAATGCTATACCACCAATGTTCATGAACATGTTTTTTCCTTAATCCTGCTGAACTGAACTTAAAACAAACTCTTGGCGGAGGTTCAAAAATAACATTTAATGTCATCCCTGATGTCATTTTTGTCCCGTCTTGTTTTGGCAGTTTGTAGAATCTTCATTCCTATTCTTAATGTCCTCTGTCACTATTCAAAAAAGATAATAATTATAATAATGACTTCCTGTGTGTGTTTTTAGGAATGCTTGAGGTGTTGAAGAGCATGCAGGATCTTAAGATCAAACCTGATAACGACACTTTATCCAAATACGTCTTCCCCGCCTTCGCCAACATTGAAGAAGCGCGACATATCCTCAAGGTGTGTGTGTGTGTGTGTGTGTGTGTGTGTGTGTGTGTGTGTGTGTGTGTGTGTGTGTGTGTGTGTCGTTTTTGCTGACATATAGTTGTTTTCCTCTTTTCAGGATGCAGGCATCTCTTTGGAATCAGAGGGCTTCTTTACTTTAAAGGTCCGCTCACTGGCTGCTACCAACCTGGCCGAACTACACACCTTGCGTAAGCTCACACTCACACACACACGTCAAGGAAACTGCATCTTGAGCACCCATCATCATAAAGATCGCTGCTTTGCCTGCGGGCTAATTGGACCAGCGTTGACACACACACACACACACACACACACTTGCCCACTTACTCCTCTTTGCTCATCAGGCCTTTTAAGAGTGTGTGTGAATATGTAAAGAGCGAGAAGGAGAGGCGCTCGCTCTGTCACAGGGACGGATGGAGAAGGCTGGTAAATAATGGAGGACTCTTCCTGTTTTCTGTCTTTCATCTTGTTTTAGTCTCAAACGTCCACCACTGGTTTTCACATACGTCGCTCCGTTTCCTCTGTCTGTATTTCAGTGTCCACAATGAAACACACACACACACACACACACACACACACACACACAGTTTTAATTTCATATATTTCTCCATAAACACTGCACATCCTCAAGGTGCTTCTTCCAATAAGTAATCAAACAAACAAAAAGCCAAACCTTTCCTGCTTTCAGATGCATCTGTTCTTTATTTCTCTGTTCTTTGAAAAATGTGGTCATTTTTTACTTTCCCACAAATTCCCACTCAATTAAACAACAAATACCTTCAATGCCCTTCAGCCATTTTTACATATTTGTAGACATTTTATAGATTACACGTTTATTTTATTAGCTACATTCCAACCATTGCCCCCTCATACTGCCACAGATAAACAGTGGAATATTCAATAACAAAGGAAATGGTGAAAGTCGCACAATTCTATCTGTCCAAGAACAATAAACCTTGACGTGTTTTTGTGCGAGGCATTACTCCTTGCAAGATGTTATAATCCACAGCTCCCACAAATGATGCAGCGACTTGGTGATAGGTTATATTCAACGTATATTCATAACTAAACCACACGGATACATTCCAGAGAGGACAAGCTGTTGCTCCTTTCCTTCTTCCTTTCCCTCTCATCACTCATCGGTCTGCTCTGTTTTCCAGTGTCGGATCCATCCTGCCCGGCGACGGAACTCATCGTTTTCCGTATGAGCCTCGTCAACAACTTCAAAACGTTAGTCAATTAGCCCGTTCTCTATTAATGTCTTCATGTGTTCTTCATCATTTCATATTCCATATTTCTCCATAATTCCCTTCAAACTCCTGAATGGTGTTTTTAGGGAGGCCTGTAGCGCTATAGAGGTCACTGCAGCATATGCCATGACTATGACATGTGCATCGTATCACACCATCCACCACAACGTGTGTGTGTGTGTGTGTGGGCAGCTGCAGGGAAAAACACTCCATCACACACACATATTCGCGGCTGCCTCATGCATATGGAGGCAGTCATCCCTCAGCTCTCGCCCCAAAGCACCGTGGGAGATATGTAAATTAGCAGATGCCCACCACTGCCCCTCGTACATGGACCCCCATACTGATCTAACTCTCTCTCCTGCACCAACACTCACACAGAGGAAGCCTTAGGACCGGGGTCTGACCCGTGGGCTTTTGTTGAAGGGATATTTATGAATATTTACAGTTTAGCACTCCACACCCACACAGAAACGCTCCGGCCCCTGCGTGAAGCTGGAGGGAAGCCAAAGAGAAAAGGCGCTGACTTGTCTGCAGGGAGCAAAGTTATTTCTTCCTCCAGAAAGCTAAACTCTGCTCAGTCGAGCTTAACTTGAAACTTTCTTAGTTATTTACTTTGCTGATTAACTTGGTTGATTTCTAACTAACGTAATAGGAAACATAATTGTAAAAATGCATGCAATATAGTTTTAGCTTATTTCGAAACCACCAATAAATGAACATTAGAAGACCGTTTTTAGAAGATATTGGCTTCATTTAAAAAATATTTAAAATCATTGAGTCCACATTGTTGTCCGTCTTTTATGTGTATGACTTCGCTCCCTCTCCTCCATTTGCCATGCATTAACACACACACACACACACACACACACACACACACACACACACACACACACACACACACACACACACACACACACACACACACACACACACACCTCTCTGACTGTTAAGTTGCCTGACAGGGTCGTAATTGGGCTTGTCACTTGGGGAATGTGTGTGTGTGTGTGTTGGTGTGTGAGTGCCGTGTCATTGCAATGCGGGACCTGCCCCTGTCAAAGACAAGGTCAGGGGATAATTTAATCATTAAAGACCTCCTCTCCTCTCCTCTCCCCCTTTATCCTCCTCTCCAGCAACTAGCTGACAACGCCAGAAATGTCGCACGTTGTCATCATTTAGTGTGTGTGTGTGTCTTTTGTGGTTTCCCAGGCTTTTGTACTGCTGTCTTTCCTCTCTTGTGCTGCGGGATTGAGTGTGTCAAACTGAAAAATCTGTGGCGCTTTCTTAACGTATTTTATTGTACTACACTGTCAATTCAGTTGCTATGGCAATATGACACAGTCAGTATTATGGTCACTTAAATCAAACCCTATCTGAGAAAATGTACTTATGTTTGATTATATCAAACATTTATGAGGTTTTTATATATATTTAAAAGTTGGGGTGGGAATGGGATTTACAAAACATCTATATTTCAGTTTTTAAACAACATTCAGATCCTTTTGAACATTTAACGGTTCACCAACAGTACAAAGTTCACAGACCGTTCAAGCAATCAATATTCAAGTGAGCTAAGTTTAGAGACATCTCGCAATATTGTATTTTGACAACTTTAGAGTGATCATTTATGGAGGGAATTTACAGCAACAGAGCTCAAAGTTGGTAAAACTTGAATGTTGTTTGAGAGCAGAATAAATCCATGATGGAAGTGTGTGTGTGTGGTGGAGGTGTTTCTTTTTCCCGAGATGAATTTTTAGCAAATGCGGACGTCCTTTTATGTTTGAGCCCTAAAAGCAAAACGTACCTTCACTTGTGAGCAAATTGCACATTAACTCTAACTCGCTGGAGTCCTGTGGACCCGCTGGGGGGTGTGTGCGTATGTGTGTCTGTGTGTGTCCCAGCTGCTCATGTGTTGTCCTCTACTGCCCCCTGCAGGTTCTCTGATATGGAGAGCATGGTGAAGGTAAGAAGTGAATGTGCCCATATTATGTGTTGAGTATCTGTGAAGGATAATGTACTGGACTACAGACGGAAAGCCTTTGAAATAAAAGTGAAATAGCTGGAAATAATGAAAATGATCCAGTAAAAGAGCCTTCATGTACAAAAGAGAACACACTTTATTAAGACATGCCCTTATTCAAGTTAAAACTAATCTCTTTTTCCGCATTTAAAGCATTTGATGCATGTTCACTATATATGACGGCTTATTCCTCACACAATAAAACTGTTATGATATCCAGTTTATTCGCCATCTGCTACATACTGGGTTACATTTAGGAAGAATATACAATCTGACCATCTGCTGCCTTTTATCCAAATGTCCTTATGGCCCACTGAACATATACATACAAAGATATTAAGCAAACATACAGTTCATTCACACAGAGCTCTTTCATAATATACCAAATGACGTTGTTAAAGTGTTAATATAGAAAAGGAATTGTTAAGGATTGGATTGCCTATGATGAAATGTAACCCTAACTATTCCTGTGGAGATGGTGTTGTTGGCTTTAATGTACGCCATTTGTCTTATTGTGTGTTTCATTTTTGTTTCCCCCAGATTACTAAGCTCTTGTCCAAAGACCAGCGCTTCTCAAAAGAAGGCAAAACGGCTTCTGGTAAGTGTGTGTGTGTGTGTGAACTTGCTGTCTCATCCATCCTCCAACTTTAGCTCAGATGACAAAAACATGCCCAGTGTGTGTGTTTGTCCGATCTGTGTTTATGTGCAGTCTNGTGAAAAAAAACGGTCTTCTCTTCAATTCCTGTATATTTTCATATCGCAATATATATCGTAGGGGAAAAAATTTTGCAGTGTCAGTTTTTTCCAACATCGTGCACGATGTTGGAAAAAACTGACACTGCAAAATTTTTTCCCCTACGATATATATTGCGATATGAAAATATACAGGAATTGAAGAGAAGACCGTTTTTTTTCACGCAAACCATCCTTTCTTGAACTTTAGTGTTATACAATTGGTATTTTTTTAAACTATATTTAACCGGATGAAGGATTTTAGTCACGGACGTCTGGATCTTAAGTTATCAGAGCAACAAGCTGAGCTAGCTCGGTTAGCAGCGCCGAACTGCCCTGGAGAAACACATGAAACTACTTTACTCAGTGTTTTTACCTTTAATCACCGGGTCCGTTTGCTTGCAGAGCCTGCATGTCATTCACTCAAGTACCCCTGACATGAGAGCCGAGCAAGTTTTCCTTTTGAAGCAAGCAGCAAAATAATTGTAACATGATGTGTTTGAGTTAATTTGCCTACTTAATATCGCAAGTCCTAAAAAAAAAACTAATAATAAAAAAATAAATAATAATCGCACGTCCACGCGGCGCGAATATCACGCATGCGCATATCGCGATTATCGTCATGACACGATATATCGTGCAGCCCTAATCTGTCTGTCTCTCCTTGTTTTCCCACCATGTGTCCTTCTGCTCTTACATCTGAGACGCAGCCTTCAGAGCATCAGCAGCCTGGTGTGGTCTCTGTGTGCAACTTCAAAACAGCAAAGAATTCAATTATCTCGAGCTTGTTCCAGAAGTCTCTTTGTGTAGAAACAAGTCCAGCCAAAATATCCCCAATCCGCTCGCTCTGTCTATAAAATGTTAAGAAGATAAAAAAACAACTATCTGTTTTAGGGATAAAGAGTGTACTTTCTCTCTCAGTTTGTCCTAGTCAATTAATGTTTAATGTTGTGGAAACAATGGTGGGGCAATAGGAAAACCATATGATGAGTCAGGTCTTTTTGGCTGCTGTGACTCCAGCATTGCAACGTGGCTTCTTATTAAGTATGTAGTGGAAGGAGGGGGGGGGGGTCCAAAGATGGAAAAGGGATCTTATTGTTTCAAGTTGTTGTTTCTGTATCTTTAGAGTAAGCAGAAACATAAGAAATATGTTTTTCATATTTGCGTTTTTCCGCTTCAGGATGTTCTGGAGACCTTGGAACTTATTTTTATTATTTCCCCCTGTTTTCTGGTTCTTGTTGTTAAGCCCTAGCTGAAAGGAGACTGTCTATTCCAATACCCCAGTACCCCTTATGTCGCGTTCACACCAAAAAGAGTACTTAGTGTCGGGAACTTTTAACCCCATTTTTAGTGCCTGCTAGAGAGGTGGTACCAAAAAAAGTAACAAAAAAGTACCAATTTCTATTGGCTGGTCGAATTGCAAACCACACCCTGTAAAACTCTGAAAAGTGTGGTGAAGCCGCCATTGTATTTGCTGGCATTAGCATTATTAGCATTAGCTTTAGCCCAGCGCAGAAACGCAGAGAGACTAACTTATGGCAACACAAAAGAAAACATGGGAGCGGTAGAGATGAGGAGGT